CCAGCCTATCTAGCAACATCACACCTATAAATTTTGCTCTTAATGAATGAATGAATGTGGAAAAGTCAAGGTTAATTAATGATATGTTTCTGGAAAGTCAAGGTTTACTGCCATGCCTGGCATGAAATCTGACTTTCTTCTTCAGTCATCTGGCAATTTTACACAGTTCCAGAATTTATCAAAGGTAACATATAAAATTTCGGTTATATTGCCTACTCCTTCTCCATATTTTTTTCTTCACTATAGTTATCTGCAAATGGACTTTTAAATTCTCTGTTTTTAGGTACTCCCACATAGTTTTAGATTCTTTCCCAATTCTCTTGTTCTGCCATTAAAGTTTACCTCTCATTGTTTTCAGTTCATTAAAATATTTTTTTTCAAGTCTTAGATATGTCTGCATTATTTTCCCCTCCAAATGAAGAACTTGTGTTACACAGTTGCTTTCCACTAATTTTTTTCAGGAACATTTGGGATGACTTTTTGTTCAGGTCTTTTTTTTTAAATAGTAATAATATTAACCATATTATGGTTAATATTATCCTGGCTAGCATTATATGTAAACTCATCATCTTATTTTTCTTCCACTTATCTACCTTGCAGGTTGCCAATACAAAAAAAAATTGCTCTTGCCAGTGGGTCTCAAATGAACATTTGCAGAAAGCTTTTGAAATCACCCACTACTGAATCAGAGAATGCCAAATGGAATAGTCCCACTTCTCTCTTTACTCCCTCCCCAAGGCACCACTCAAATCATTCTTCTAGTTTTGGATTCAGGTCTGGGAAAATAGACTAGAAAAATCTATTGTAAGGTACACATGCACAGTGCTTCCAATGGAAGCAGAGAAGGTGTTCCCCTACAGAATTGAAAGGACACTGTGATTAACAGGACACACAAGATTTTGGACAGTGAAATTAATGATTTGATATTAATAGATTTTACCCTTCTCATCTCATCATTTTGCTCAAATTTTTCTTGCATAAAAAACAAGCTTGACAGTGGTATTTCCAAGGCTGACCCAATCATTAGCTTTTGTTATAATCTTAATAAGCGATGGTGAGAAATGGAGAGATTGTGTGCTATAGGATATGGATTAGAGTCAGCACCTCTGCCTCTCCTCTCAGAGAATGATCTCCCTTTACAAATGTTGGAGAAAGGTTCAGCTACCAGGTTGGTGGTCTTTTGTTCATGAAATAGTGAGAAAGCTCGTCATCTTATTTCTTGAAGGCAACAAAATATTTTAGTAGACTCAGATATTTTCCATTGAAGTTAATTATTATAGAGTTGCTTTTAAGCAAGAGACATGGATAATTTTGATGACATGAAAGAGACATGGATAATTTTGATGACATGAAAAACACCCATTTCTGGAAGATCTACAGTATGCTGGCATTTTGAGCAAATCTCAAGTGGCAATTCATGAGCTGGATGTATTGTTAATCACATTTATTCCTCTGTATTTTCATCTTTAGCTAAGATTGATGCTTCATGAAGGAATAAATATAAAGAAACTCATATTTCATTGACAAACCTATTTATTAGTTTTGAAAGATAAATATTGAAATACTTGAAATAATTACTTACAGTTATTTATCAGTCAAACAAGGTATTCTGTGTTATTTTTAAAAAATCCTTTTTCATTTGAAAAGAGAGAAATGTTTTAAGATTAAAACAATAAAAAGAACATCATTCCAATTTGTTTTATATTTGTACTATATTAGCTGATCAATGCATATTTCAGGTTAGCAAGTTTTAAAGGGGGAAAACAGGTTATTATGCAAGGGATTAATTAAAAATTGCTAATTAGCCTATTGATTGTGGTCAAGACAATATAGCAAAATTCTAGGAACAAAATCATGTCCCTTGCATATTAGTCTTGTGTTAGAAGATATGACATTCTCAGTAATTAAGTAGGGATAATTGGATTTACAAGAAATGGATTTGGTTTCTTGCTTTCTGGCATGAAAAAACATGCACCTCTTTGTGAGAATTGTTTACAGTAATTTCTGTGTAATCTATACACTTAGTGAAAAAGAGAAAGAATCTAGTATATGTGTCAGAATCATATTAATCCTCTTTCAATTCTAGGCCTTCAAACAGTTTTAACCATGTGAAGAAAAATATGGACATTTTTCTTTTCTCTTATGATATCAAAAACAAATATAAGGACCTATAAGCAGTGCTTTTTTTCTCAAAAAAAAAAAGGGTACTGTAACACACACGTCATACAACCCGCCTTGCCTACCCTACAAGGTTCTATCTAAAAAAGGTGCTGAACTCCGTTCTGGGCGTTCTATGAGAAAAAAAGCCCTGCCTATAAGTAAAATATCCACTAATCATTCATTAGAAGATGTAACTTGTATAACTAAATTAAGGCGGTGATATTAAGATCCAGTGAGCAAATTCAACATGGAAGCCAGACTATAGCAATAAGCCAAGATATGGTTTCATCAGAAGAAATTGTAAACTAGGATAGAATAGGGTTTTAGGTATTGAACTTATCTGGGAAACCCAGATTCAAATCTGCCTTCAATCATGACACAATACAGGTATCATTTTTGTTTGATGCAGGTATCATTGATGTTTGGGCAGGTTTCATTTAAGAAGTGTTCCCTTCTAAACTAATATTAACTAAAGCTAGTGCTTGCAATCAGCAGTTTGAATAAGGATTTGCATCAACATACATCCTTTTATGCTCATCTCAGTTCAGTAGGGAGATTTTTGAGCTCATTGTCAGTAAATATAACTGATTCGCTTAAAGTCTGCAAGGTGAACACTTTGCTTTGAACAAACTGTACTTAACTGAGAGTGTTGAAAGAAACTCAGTATTAAATGTTGCATCCCATTTAAAAATTAGGCAGGCTGAATGGAAGCATAGTCTACACACATACACACACACACACATGCACACTCAAGCACACATGCATGAACACACACACACACACACAAGTCATCCTATCTCCTTAGAACTCTCTATCCAGAATTAATATAGTTAATGCAAATGACTACAAAGGTATGCATGTATAACACCCACACATATTCAGTTTTCTCCACCATTTTCCCATGCCCTTAAGGTCACCTTAATTCCTGCAAAATAGCTAGTTTTGAAACAGATGGAATTTAAACTTTTTATCAAATATAAGAATTCAAGTTAGGTGCAAGAAGGGTCAGCTATCACATTCAAATTAAGTGCAAAAGAGTCTGTTTCCTTAAACTACAAGTTCTCCAGTAGCCTAGAAAAGAAATTAGCAGTAAAGGAGTCTTACGAAAGTGTGAAAAAAGCAGTTGACAAAGATGTGAGCATTTTTAGAAGAATTGCATACAATTGGAAGTTAAGCTGTCCTGTCCACAAATGTTAATATTAACTAACTTTTCAGTGGTACAAGACATATTCTGTCATTAACTAAGAACACTTTAAATAGTTGCATCAGTTTTTCATTTCTGTCTTAATTTAATATATGTGTTTGTGTGTGCTTATGTGGGTATGTGACAATTAATTCAAATACAGATTATGAAGCGCTATAATTTTTTTAAAAAATAGAAATTTGGAGATACAGAGCTGGAAGGACCTTAAATGTGATATCCTCAGTGAGCTCTTTTAATCTGGAAGAGATATCACACTAGCTCTGACAAGACTCTTTAAGGTTACTAATGTTTAAAAAATCAATATTTATATATGTATTTGTTTACTTATATGCTGCTTTTATCTGAACAAGTCTTTAAGGGGCTTACAAATTAATGGAAACATTACAACAAAACATAGGTAAACATAACAGTGCTCCAAGGAATGCTCACAGCTTCCAAATCCATAGCAGAAGCAGCAGAGCCAAATAAGGGAACTCTAGATTTCTGCATATCTTCAGCTCACATTCACTGCTTTTCTATTTATACCACAATTATTTTTCCCTCTCTTAAAAAAATGAGGTGTGCAAAGGATAAATCTTGGCAAAAAATTATGACATGCACATTGTTTTCTCTGCAGATTTGCTTCTACCATCTGCTGTGGAAATCAGCCTATAGATGCAACAATCCTTAAGTTAATATTGTTTTTGTATAAAATGATTACGTTCACCTATTGTTGTATGTGAAATAATGGAATATTGAATAAATCATATTTGACTCAGTCTATATAACCTGTTTAAAGCCACAAATAAGGATTTCTAGGCTACAACAGCAAGATTTATGTTCTGTGCTAAGATAAACCAAGCAAAGCAACTTATGTAGTTGGTATATATAAACCAGATCTACAGTATCTTATTTTGAGAAAGACAGAAGGGTCTTCTACTTATTTCTAAAATGAAAATAAATAATATATATAATGAAATATCTAACGTCTATAAGTCATCAACTATCAAGTTTGTAATTTTCCACCATCTTCAAATAAAATTACACTTTAAATAGTCAATCCTTTGAGGCTAGAGGTCTATTTTGAATTTTGGAGAACTTTGGATCATGCGTTCCCAAAATTACTGTAATGGGAGACTTGTTTAGTCACACCATGGCAGCTATAAATGGTCAATAAGAAGAATACATTTAGAAGACAAGTTAGGCTTTCACACTGCTTTCTGCAACTCCAGTGAGGTCTTTCTGGAGCCCAAAGTCATTACCCAAAGAGAACTAAAGTTTAGAGGCTGGTGCTTAGCTTTGCAGCCTGCCAGCTTCATGTTTAATTTCTTTTCCTTAGAAGAATATTTTTAAAAATGCATGTGAAACAGGAGTTTGGGGACACTGAAAGCAATGTTTAAGGGTACCTTTGTGCCTGCAAATACCATTAACCCAACCTTTACTATGTATTTACTGTATCTATAAAGCACGTCTATAATAGCATTCTAAGGAAGCTCTGCAAATATTTTTTGGGTGTATCAGTTCTTGCCCTGTAGCTTTTGCTGCTATGAAATCCAGAACCTGTGCAGCAAATTTTATGGTAGCAGTGAGGAGAATTTAACTGTGTTTCTGCTTAAGAGTGGCATTGTGGATTGTGAACAAGAGAAAGCTAGCTTACCTTTAAGAGAAGGAGGGGTGTAGACACAGGGTGCATTCCTTTTGTTTTTAAGGTGGTATCCTTCACCCAGAGTTCTCTGAAAAACAAGAAGAGAAAAAACATTTGAAGGCAAAACTTTTCTTTAAAACAAATATTCCTATGAAAAAATACAGGACAACAATTTTAACCAAATGGCTAAATTAGGGTTGTGTATTCACTTTGATCCAGGAAGAACTTTCTGCACACACGTAGGATTGTATATTCAGTTAGATTGTATACAGTGTATTTTTTCACACAACCTTTGTTGGTTAGTTTTCCATCACTTTTCATAAAACCACAAAATAGGGGTCCTGTTCTGAAACATGTAGACTACAAAAAAGAACTATAAATTTATTTTTAAATCTCAATCAGTTGTGTAGATTGGACAAGAATTGATCATGAATTGATGCATTCATAACCTTAAGAGATTAGTTTCACATGAAAAAAGGATGATGCCTCTTCTAAAGAGTTTCATTCTCTGTGATTTTGATGAGATAATTTCAGGTACAACCCAAAGGTTTTTACTTGCTGCCCATTTCATTCAATGATGATCCTTTGGTCAGTTAAAAGCTGGTTGCTCTTATGAATCAAATTAATTAATTTTATATTCAGAACACTGATTTGTCAACAATACAATCTTAATTATACAGAACAATAGTTAAGATCCTGGAATTAGAACTGGGGAGACCTTGATACAAGTGTTCATCTGACTCCACATATAGATGAATGTTCTAAGTTAGATTAAGTAGGTATATAATAAAAAGAACGTAGCCCTTTAATGAAAGAATTATAGCATATTACCTAAGAAACTGAGCTGCAAACTATTAATCCTCCATTCAAATACTACTCTTTCCATTAAGTTATAGTTTGTCTTAAGCAAGCTGTGATTTTTTTTAAAGTCTCATACATACATCATACGTCTAATATGCAATATGGAGGGAGAATTAATTGATATATTCCACAAGAGAGCCAGTTTGATGTATAGTAGTGGTTAAGGCACCAGGTAGGAAACCAGGAGACCATAAGCTCTAGTCCTGCCTTAGGGTGACTCATGGGCCACTCATTTTCTTCCTCAGTCTTAGAAAACAGGCATGAGCAAACCACTTCCAAAATCTTTTCAAGAATACTTCAGAACTTGTCCAAACAGACATCAGGATTCAACACTGACTTGAAAGCACAAAAACCAAACCAAACCAAGCAAAATAATCCACAACTGTAGCTACAAGGGTATTAAAAACTGCATGCAGTTAAATAGTTAAATAACTAAAACACTTCATTTTGGAACTTTCTGAATAGTAATAAAGAAGATGATCACAATGAAATTTCTCCCCGATGCTATGACTGTGTTCATTTGATAAATATAAGTGAAATCTATTCCTGAGGATGCCTAAGAGAGCTTGTATACGTTCAGTAGGATCCTTATAACATTCTGTCACAATTTCATAAGAAAAGAAGTGAGAAAACAGCACATTATTATTAGTTTTCCTTTGAAACTGGGCTAGCTTTTTCCTGTATATGTTTAGCGTGTGCTTGTACTTATGCATGTTTTGGCTTGGTTGGCTAAACATTCTTTATGCCCTCCATATCTTACTGAAACAACATTTGAAATATGTCTGGGTGGTACAGAAAGAAAATAATTATAATGCACATACTTGCAGTCCTACGTTCTATAATCAGGAGGAAAATGTAATTGAAGAAGAAATGTAAAATATGGACACTTGTTCCAAGAACCAGATGATTAGTTGCATTTTGCACTTAGACGTTGAAGAAGAAGCCATATCCTCAAAGAAGTAATTGCCATTCTGAAACCTTTTCACTTAATTCTTTCAGAATTTTGCTGTACGTCTTTTCTCCCCATCTTGTAATGAAGAACAAATTGGTGAATGTCCCCAAACTGTTCAAGTCTCTTTTATTAGCCCCAGAGAGAAAGTAAATAGTTTCCTTAAAAAGACCTGTTTGTAGTCTTATACCGTATGACAAATGCTTTCCTTGGAGACTCTCAATGTTAGAGATTTCAGGAAAGAACAATAGAATTGCCTTGGTTGTCCTACAAAGTCCCATTAAAATAATGCAAGTCAGGTTACAGGTTGTCCAATAGGCTAAACTCCAACCCTGTATAAGAAAACACAATTATTGTGTTCCCCTCAATAAGCCACCAACACAAGAAGCCACTATCAAAGGTTATTTGAAGGACTGCCTCTCTCCTATTATATCCACCTGGCCCACCAGGATGGAAAGGCAGGATGTTGGTTAAGGATTGTCCTCTGGTGGGATCATCAAAAAGGTCCTTCTTGGTGTTAGCCCTTCTTTATCATTTTCCCTGAGGTGTACCCAAGCCCCACCCTGCAGCTTTTCCAAAAGGGAGGCCCTAAAAACATGGCTTGTCAGCAGGCCTGGAGACCACAAATAGAGATGAAGCCAATCCTGGCTGATTTGAATGTGTTGCTGCTTGGGGAGGTGGGGGTGAGTGGGAGGAGATTAATGGCTTTTATTGTATGGTGGAGTACTTTTGTCATTTATGTGTGAGTTGGGTGACCAAATAAATGAACAATAAATCCCTGTTTTAGCCAGGACTAGTGGTGATATACCAATTCCATCCTTGACTTATAAGACCACAATTGAGCCAAAATTTCTTTTGCTAAGTGAGACAGTTATTAAGTGACTTAGGCGCCTTTTAGCACATTTGTTAACTGAATCAGTGCAGTTGTTAAGTTAGTAACAGGCAGTGCTTTTTTTCTAAAAAAAAAAAAAAAAGGTGCCGGAACTCACACACATCATACAACCCACCTTGCCTACCCTACAAGGTTCCATCCAAAAAAGGTGCCGGAACTCCGTTCTGGGCATTCTGTGACAAAAAGAGCCCTGGAACAGAGTTGTTAAATGAATCTGGCTTCCCCACTGATTTTGCTTGTTAGCAGTGATCACATGACCTGGGGACACTGCAACTGTCATAAATGTGAGTCAGTTGCTAAGCATCTGAATTTTGATCCCATGGCCATGGGGATGCTGAAGTGATCATGAAAAATGATCATAAGCCACTTTTTTTCTGTGCCATTGTACCTCTGAATGGTCACTAAATAAACTATTATTAGTTCATTTATAAGTTCATTGATCAGGAGATTGGTAGCTAAAACATATAAGGAATGGTTGCTGGAATTGGGTATGTCTAGTTTAATGAAGAGTAGGACAAGGACATGATAGCAGAGTTCCAATATCTCAGGGATTGCCACAAAGAAGAGGGAGTCAAGCTATTCTCCAAAGCGCCTGAAGGCAGGACAAGACAAGAAGCAACAGATGGAAATTAATCAAGGAAACAACCTAGAACTAAGGAGAAATTTTCTGACAGTTAGAACAATTAATCAGTGGAACAACCTGCCTCCAGAAGCTGTGAATGCTCCAACACTGGAAGTTTTTAAGAAGAGACTGGACAGCCATTTGTCTGAAATGGTGTAGGGCAGTGATGGCGAACCTTTTAGAGACTGGCCCTGCTCCCACTCTACCTCCTGCCCTGCCCCCACTCTGCCCCCACCCTGCCTGCCCGCAGGACCACTCACCACCTCCAGGGCCCACCGTAGATCACCCAGGCAGCCCAGCAGTGCTATGGCAGCAGCATCCTCTGTCCGTGCCCCGCAGCATCAACTGTGCGCGATAGGACATGAGGGTAGAGTCTTGTCCACACTGTCTGGCTGCCATGTCCTTGGCTGTACTGCTCCACGTGGGCCACACTCAGGGGTGATTCTCCTCCAGGGGGGCTGCTGGTAAGGAGGGGGGTTGCGGGGGGGAGGCGAGGCTGGGCCAATGGCACATGTGCCCACAGAGAGGGCTCCAAATACTGCCTCTGGCACGCATGCCATAGCTTTGTCACCACTGGTATAGGGTTTCCTGCCTGAGCAGGGGATTGGACTAGACGACCTCCAAGGTCCCCTCCAACTTTATTATTATTATTATTAGTTGAGGATTACCTGTAATTCCTTCTCTTTTCACTAGGTCTTCTTGAAGTGTAACAGAGTTTTTTTCCCACAAGAAAGTACTACATTTATCTCAGACTTGCACCATGTTGCTGTTTCCCCACCTAAAGTCATATGGGGTTTGCATGCTGCTGGTCTAATTAACTTGTATCTCTGCTCCAAAGAAACACGGTAAAATTGGTTGGTGTTGCTAAAGGGATAGTTATCTAGTGGTGGAATCTCCTGCTTTTTCCTGCCTACCAGCTCTTGAGAGATTCTCTCTTCCTCCTGGAACTGAGACACTGTCCTTCTCATCCTCCTTAGTTGCTCTGGGCAGTGATTTGGCCATAGCACAGTGGAAACTTATTGGGAAGTGGGCAAACTGAAGGAAGAACACATTTAGGGGACCCAAAAATGGAGTGAGGGGCCTTGTGCTGAACAGCATTTCAGGGAAAGAAAACGATAAACACAGAAACAGACCTAGGGGAACAATTATATCAAAAATGGCATTTTGATACTTTAAAATTCTGGCATTAGAGTGTGAAATTAATAAAAGAGATACAGTTGTATGAAATATATTGTGCAGATAACAATTTAAAAAAAGAAAGGAAAGGAAAGGAAAGGAAAGGAAAGGAAAGGAAACAGCAGCGAAGGCAGGTTTATATATGCATCTTATAGGACTGGTGTTTGTTCTTGGTACTTTTTATTTGTGTGGATTATATCATTAATAGAAATGATACAGTAATTGAAACAGTAATTTCAAGAGGCATCCAGGTATTTTATTTCTCTTTACCCTTTTTTATTTTTTTCTATTTTTTTTTCCTATTCTATATTGTAAGAAACAATGTAATGGCCTATGAAAAGGGGCATCTGGATGTAGCCAAAGGCAGCAGAAACATCATTAGGCTCTTTTAACACTCTTAGTAAGGCTGCAAGCTTTAATACGTAAATTCAGCAACTGAAGTGTTAGTTGTTTAATTGGTGATTGAAAACTTCAAAAAGTAGAGCTGAGAATGAAATTCACACTTTAATTTTTGACTCTATTTTTGTTTCTGTGATACTGTAATACAAATAGATTTTATTTATTTAAAAAACTGCCTTTAGATTGTAC